TTCTGTGCGGTGGAATCTCTCATGCCGGGAACCCAGGGTAAGAACCCCTGCCTGTCCCTCCCTCCCCTCAGCTCTGCCTGATGCCCACTTTCCCTGGGAATCCAGGCTTCAAGAACAGCTGCAGCTGCCATCCTTGCTTGCAGCTGCTGCCCAGAAACAGGGCAGCATGGTTCAGCGGTGCTCCCTCTCAGGACTGATTTTTTTTTTCATTTATCCTTGAAAATCTTGTCGGGCTGTGCCAACTGTGGGCACGGGATCAGCTGCCCCCTGTCTGTCCCTGATGCTTCTGCTTAGGGACCTTTTGTACTCAGACTCCAGCTGGGTCACACACTCCACGCTGCAACCCAGTAATTCCTTCTGATGCTTTTAGGCCTTAGCCAAAACGGCTCGCAACCCCTCAAGGGTCACCTTTTCTACTGCTCCACCCCTTCCTCAGTCTCTCTGCTAGCCCAGTGTAACGGACATCTTGGCCACATAAGAGGGAGTCAGTCAGTCATGTTGATGACGATGATGGAGGTGACGATGACTAACAGTTATTGATCATTAGTAATGTGCTCAACCTCCTGCTACAGGCATTATGTCAACTGTATTTACTGCCACAAAAAATCTCATGGGAGGGGCCGTGTATTGTGGCTCAGTGGGTTAAGCCCTGCCTGGATTGCCGATATCCCATATCCAAACCCAGGTTTTGAGTGTGTGGCGGCTCCACATATGATCTCTGCCGATGCACCTAGGAAGACAGTAGAAGACAGCCCAAGGACTTGAGCCCCCCTGGCACCCACATAGGAGACCAGGATGGAGTTCCTCATTCCTGTCTTTGGCCTGGCTGGGCCTTGGCTGTTGCAATTATTTGGGGAGTGAACCAGCAAGTAAAAGATTCTCTCTTTGTTTCTCTCTCTCCTCTCTCTCACTCTCTCTCTCTCTCTGCTTTTCAAACAAGATCTTACAAGATAAGGTTATCGTCTTTTTGTAGGTAAAGACTTTAAAGTTCTACAAGTTCATGAATCTTGCCCAAAGCCAACAATAGTATGTGGCAAACACAGGAGACCACTTTTCTCCTAAAGTTATAGGAGTTTGTTGCAAGATAAAGTTAACATCACGAAGTCCACCATATGTTTAGGTGCTCCCTCCAATAATTCAGAGTTTGTGGAATTCATAAAACAAATCAGGAGCCTTCAATTGCTGTGAGAGTTTGTGAAATGCGTTCATCCATATCATCAGTAAACAATGTTTTGTTCACTGTATCTGATCAGTAAAGACTTATCCAGCGACCAAATGGAAATGTAAGCCTTCTGGTGAATGGGAAAATGGGAAACCTGTGGTCTTTGCTCTTCTCTGAAAGCAGTCACTGTGTTGATTTTCTGTTGCTCAGAAGACAGACAACCATGGGCCATGCACACAAAGATTTGTAGAGAGCATGTTACGTAGGAGACATCACGTGCCTCCCACCTGAGACACACAGGGGCAACTGCTGCCCAGCTCCTCCTGCTGACTTCTTCCTCCCACTGCCCCAGAACCCGCAGAGCCCCAGGACGACCCCTAAGAATGCTCGAGCTGCCCCAGGAGAGGGAGCTGTACACACACCCGCTTTGCTTGCCTTCACTGAGCTCTTTTCCACACCCTGTGGTGACTCCCTGCTCTCTGCTGCCTGCTCCCACGTCCCACTCAGCCTGTGTGTTGCTTTATTTTTGTTTCTCTGGTTGTACTTGTTTCTAAGGCTCAGCTTCTCCGGCAAGTTTCATTCCCCCCGCTATCTTACTCACATCAGATCATTTGACCACTACGGTTTTGTCTAAATAAAATTTTTTTTGAATCAAAGTTTTAGTATAGCCAACAGCTATGTGAACAGTTGGGTAGACGAAACTCAGGAAATATTCTGGCATTTTTCTGCACACATATATTGGTGCCAAAAAACTACCTTGGCAAAAATAACAACCCTAAGATGAGAATCCTCAGCATTGCTTTCTGATAGACTGAAGCAAGAAGACCACTTCTGTCCTAAAGTTCTAGCCGTCTGTTCCCATGTAAGGTTACCATCACGATGTCCACCGCAGGCTTCAGGGCTCCCCCTGCAAAACCATTTGCTATAGCCCTTCCTTACAGAGGGCAGAGGATGGTACTGGGTGGGTACTGCCATTAGAACAAGTCGATAAAACAGCCTCTCTTCAGGTACACATAAACCACTAGAGGAGATGGAGGTGGAAACAGCACCGCCCTCCCTGGGACCCAGCATGACAGTTTTCTAAGCTGCAGAAAAGAAGGTAAATGATGATCACGAGGATACCCAGGAAAGGCTTTACCAAGGAGGAATTTCCCCTGGGCCTTGAAGGATTGGCACAGCTCCAACGAGGCGAAGATGGACAAGAATGCAGTCCAGGGAAGGGCATGGCAGGAGCAGTCTCTGATCACATTGATTAGAGGATCAGTAACCCAGCAGGGCCACACAGAGGAAGATATGTACATGGGGAGGTTCCAGAGGCTCGGGGAGCAGGACGGTGGCTTCTGATGAAAGGATGGGAAGACCTAGAAATGTGGAGCAAGACCAGCTGTGGCAGGGAGGGATGTGAAATGCTAGGCTGAGTAGTCTGGACTTCATTCAACAATGATTGAAGAACCAATGCAGGGTTTTGAACAAAGAAATGGTGCTGTCATAGGTTTATTTTAAGACAGGATGGGTTTGTATAAGAAAGGAGATGTTGGGTGCAAGAATCTGAAAGTTTGAAAGAATGCTGTTGCGTAAGAGCTCAATACCGGAGACCCAGGACCCTAGCAGCGAGGGGTGAGGAGTGTGGGAAATTCGTGCCCTGTGATGTTTCCATCTCTGCCTCACCACCCTGTGTGCTCTGCAGCTCTGTGCCTCCCAGTGCTGTTTCTCTCACGGCTTGGCTATGGCATTCTCCTCTGTAGGGGAAGCTCTGAGCCTGTCGGTCGCAGTTCTATCTCAGGGACCTTGGAGGAGAGGATAGTTCCAGGCCTGCTTGCTGTTTCTCCAGGACTGAACAGTTCTGAATCCCCCTGGCCCTCCATCTGTCTGCATGTGTCCCAGATCTCCCTGGGCAGAGATTAGGTAATTGTGCCGTTCCCAGTCAGTATGCCCAGGGGTCTGGCACAGGGAAGCTGCCGGCTGGCAGCATTGGGGTGGGCAGGAGCCAGGGGAGAGTCTGCTCCCGGAGTCCCTGAGCAGCTTGCGGCTGTGCCTGGCCCTCCGTGGGCCAGCCACGTGCCTGCCCGTCCTGGATCTGCCTCGGCTCAGAGGCCAGCTCACAGAGGCACAGCATGCACAACCAGCCAACCCAGCCAAGAGTGTCTGCCATTATCAGGCGGCCCCTCGAGGTCCACCCGAGGGAAAAAGTAGGTCCGCCTCCCACTTCCAGCCTGCTGCTCTGCCTCCACCTCCTCTCACAGCCGCTAACCTTCCAGCACGGTTATGAATATAGAATCAACGAAGGCAGGAACTCAGTCTGTAGACTTCCAAAAAATTAATTGGTCCAAAAGGTTTCCATTTGACTATAGGGTGCATTTAAACATATATAAATATGTGCGTGTGTTCCACATGTACCAATATGTATGTGGGCAAATGTATGAAATTCAGGCATAGTTTTTTCATAATCTGTATTCTTCATGAATTTTCAGAAGATTCCTGTAATGCCTAGGTTTCAAAATTTTGTGCCAAAAAAGCTTATCTTTTAATTCCATTCTTGATAAAATTTTTAAAGTATGCATTCACTTTTTAAATTGTGCATGTATGTACACACACAAAACATTCATACAAGCACACATATATGTGTGTGTTTAAGTATGCACACATTAATATTTGTGTGTATACATACACACAAAAAAAAACACAAAAATTAGGGTCATATTAACTGACATGGAGAAATAGACTTCATATTTAACATTTTTTGTTGACAATGCTCAAATTATTCCTCTGAACAACTGAGAACTCAGTATATTTGCACTCTAGTGAGCAGTATGGGCAACGTCTTCCCATTCTTGCCCACTGAGGGAGGAAACAGGGAAATGGCACAATTCTAGGAATAGTCCTGTTTCCTAATTTGACTTTTGATAACTCAATGTAGAATACACACCTTTTTAGTTGTCAAACATGTGGCGGTAATTGTTGCTGGAGAATAAGTTCACTATCTAGAAAATCGCCTTCGGTTCAAGCCGAGCTGCTCAGCTGCCATTTTAGCTTCTTACTAATCTGCCTGGGAAGGCAGTGGAAAATGGCCCAAGTGCTTGGGCCCCTGCCACCCATGTGGGAGACTCGGATGGAGTTCTAGGCCCCTGGCTTTGGTCTGGCCCAGACCTAGCTGTTGCAAACCAATGGATGAAAGATTCCTCTCCAATTTCCAGTTGGAGAGCAAGAAGTGGCAGATTGAAGATGCAGATGGAAAGATGATAGCTCTCATTCTATTTTTTAATTCCTTAAGTATGTTGAATCAAACCCTTCTCTTAATAAACCAGCCCTGTTTTATATACATTTATTATTTTTAACCCCTTCAGCATTATATTTCCTTGGAATTAGTGTTCTGTGCATGTGAGAAAGGACCCCAGACAGCTTGAGTGAGAGAAACTTGAAAGACAAAAGATCAGGGGAAAAGACCTTCAGAGGCAGTTGCCAAAAAACACACTTCATCATTTTTTGAAAAGTTAGTAGGCTCGCCTGTGTTTTAGAACCACCTTCCCCGATCTGCCTCTCTCTGATTTCATAGCTCAGAGTGCCCGTAGCCATGAAGATTCTTGTAAATCAGACATTGTTTTTCTCAGCTGCAGATTCTATAGTTTGCTGTGTGAGTGGCAGGGACAAGTATGTCTGTACTTCCAGAGACTTAGTTTAGATCCTTCGAATCTCTGGCAAGACCAACTGAAATGCAGGCTGCACCCACCCTCTAGACTGGCCAGCCCGTGCTCTGCTAGCTGCATGCCAGACACAGAGCCCAAGAAAGTGAGTAGAGACTGAGGAGAACTTTTGAAGACTGAAAACACAACACCACGTCTAACAAGACTCACAGCTTTATTTCTGCTATAAAATGGGGGGAGGAGAGGAAAAACAGTCTTTCTCTTAATCAAAAGATTTAAACAATTGCTTCACTTTACCTGAAAAAGTCCTGCAGAAGAATGAGACCGCCTAAGTTCTGAGAGTAGGTTCTTTCCCTGTGTACTGCACTCCTACATTTTAATTCAACCTTGAAATCCTTCTGCGCCATCCAGGGGAATGCTGGTTCGTGGATACAACTCTCCCCAAAGGCATAAACAATAGATTCCCCCAAAATAACTCTGGCTCAGCTTAGACTGAAAGAAAATATCTAAAACATTAACTTGCATAGCCATTCAAAATATTGCTGTTTTAAATAAGATCATTACAGGTAATTGTGTACTAAATCCATCCCTTCCCCTCATCCCAAAACTCTAGCAAAATTCTGAGCTACGTTACAAAGGAAGTTTTAGGGAGGGTTAGCAGGCACATCAGAAAGGGCCCAAAGAATTTACATGAAAGGAAGAGAGAAATAAATTAAATAAATAATATCTAATAAATAATGCAGACAACATTCATTATCTACAAACTTAAATGACAGAAAATTCTAGCTTCAACCATAGATCCTTCCACAGCCCATCACGAAGCTAGATACTAGCTCTCAGAAAGCACACGGGGTGGCCTTGTCAGTCATTCTGCTTGCCTGTTGCCTCTGGGCAGACCATTGAGGGAAGCCACTTTCAGTGGCTGCTGGGGTTTGTGATCCCTCTGCAAGGCTGCTTTGAAGTGTATTTACAAGCCACGGCTTCAAAATACGGCAAAGTAAGTGCTGCGAGTGAGATGGGAAGAAAATTAGACTGCAAGGAGAAAATAAATTATAAAAAGTATAAAAAGACAAGATCCACTTACAGTGTGGCTGATTTTAGGGGCGAGCTGGGCCATCAAAGTGACACATTAATCTGTCATATCCACTTTACTCATTGGCCCGATTGCTATACCCTAAACACATCCTCTCTGGCAGAAGAAGCAGACCTAATCTATGATCAAATAAGCCTTTTTGGCTCTTGCTTTGACTTAAAAAAATTGTGCTGAGAATTTGAGCAAGGTAGTATAATAATCAGATTCGATTTCTCTGGAAAAAGACCAATTTGACAAAATGAGCATCCCTATCAGTGAAAGAGGAGCTACACGATAAAGATGCTGCTGATTGGGTTGAATCTGTGGTCACGGGTGGGAATGTAGCCAAGCAAAGATGCTGGGTGAGATGCACTCACTCCACACTGGAGGGAACGGGTTGCCTCCTGGCTCTAGCTCCCTGCTACCAGGATGATGGCTCAAGCAATTGGGTTCTTGACACCCAGGTGAGAGACCAGGATTGAGTTCCAGCCCCCAGCTTCACTCCTACATGCCACCACTGAAGGAAGCCATTTGAGAAGTGAACCAGGGCCGGCGCCGCGGCTCACTAGGCTAATCCTCCGCCTTGCGGCGCCGGCACACCAAGTTCTAGTCCCGGTCGGGGCACTGGATTCTGTCCAGGTTGCCCCTCTTCCAGGCCAGCTCTCTGCTGTGGCCAGGGAGTGCAGTGGAGGATGGCCCAAGTACTTGGGCCCTGCACCCGCATGGGAGACCAGGAGAAGCACCTGGTTCCTGCCTTCGGATCAGCGCGGTGCGCCGGCCACAGCGGCCATTGGAGGGTGAACCAATGGCAAAGGAAAACCTTTCTCTCTGTCTCTCTCTCTCACTGTCCACTCTGCCTGTCAAAAAAAAAAAAAAAGTGAACCAGTGGATGCAATCTCTCTCTTTCTCTCTCTCTCTCTCTCTCTCTCTCTTAAAAAATAACACATAAAACTGATGGAAACCTACATTGGTAAAAGCATTCACTGACCATGCATTTCATGTCTACATCTTTAAGTCTGGTTCACTGGAAGTGGTATCCGCCATATATAATAACATATTACATCGGAGAAGTGAGGAAGAGGTAACAATTTTGGGGGGTGAGGGATGCAGGGAAGGAACTGAGTATGTGTTGGAAAAATTCAAACTTGGTCAATCCTTTGATTGACACTTGTACTTCTGGAAATTGTATTGCTATGGGAAGAGGTCAGTGGTTTTACTTATATTTAGCCAGATGAAATTGATCATGGCAAGGAAAATGCAGTGGTTTTCCTATAGGCAAGTGTGAGCTGAGAGTCTCAACTGGAGTAGTTCGTTAGCCAGTGACCATTTTATTGCTCTTTAATGTGAACCCAGGCTGTGTGCTGATTCTTAGAGCAGTATGTGAGCTTTATCTGGCTTTCCAGAGTGCTCTGGTTATGGAGGCCAGGAGCAGTCTAAATGACTTCTCTAGGTCCCATTTGGTCATAGGAGCTTAAGGTTTCAGTGCCTTGCTTGTCCTACATGTAGTTCTGAAAAAGGTGCTTTCGAAATGTTATCAAGGATGTGATAAAGTTGCCATGAGGCCTCTATTATGGCTCACAATTCAACTTTCAGACCAAGGAGAACGAGAGCTAATCACATCACGAACATGCTTTGTTACTCACAATAACAGCCGTGTGAGAGCCTTAGCCTCTGGAAACTGCTTTTCAATAGACACTAAGAAGTCTTGCTATTTAGTTCAAATGTTGCATTCTGTGAGCCAAGTGACATACACCTTCTGCTCCCTTGACCATCCCTTGCACAGCATCCACTTCCTATTATGGCTCCATTCTTTCAGTTTCAAGAAATTTATAACAGTGATCAACAAAGCTGTGGAATTTCAGAACCGTGAAGAACTTCAGAAATCATACAGACTTAGAAAAACTGCCTCAGGTTACTAATAAATAAACAAATGTGGGAAACGGAAAATCAGTTGGCATAGAGTATTCAACTTTTTGGCAACACAGGTATGGAGTCTGAGTGTTCTATTCCATTCCTACATGGTTGTAAGTCATCAGATCATTTTGCCCGAGGATTCTAAATAAGTAACCAATAAAATGTGAGAAGTTGATGAGAAAAGAGAGTAGTAGATGTAAGAGGGTCTAAATGGACTAAGACTATTGGGCTTGGATACATATCCATGGGATTCCTTTAAAGTCACTGACTCTTCGTTCAATCACGTCAGTTAAGGGAAACGTCTCCACATCATTCTCTAACGTGCCGATTCTACTGACCTAATCAGTGAAAATGGTATTGAGTTGGGCCCCAATACCATGGTGAGGGTAGGATTCATAGGACATGTCTATGGGAACGTCATAGCGGGGGGGACCAGCCTGAAATGGAGTCGAATGCACGTGCCCTGAGCTTAGACTTGTGGATGAGTAATGTGGCATGAAGCTGTAAGATTTTTCCAGGTCAGGGGAGCCATCTTGCTTCAAGGAGAAGTTCCCACTGATGCTCAGTGGTGGGGTGAGTGGCCCCTCATAAGGGGGTGTGCTGCAGTCGGGTGGGTGGCCCCCGAATGGCGATTCTCCCAGACTCTTGAACACCTGGGGCTTGAGATGGAGAAGATGTGTTTCCAGATGGCCGTAAGGAGGGCTAGGGAGCCCTGGAGACTGATAGTTGAAGTTGTGGGCAGAGATGGCAGAATCACAAGTCGGCGATTTCTCCTCCCGTTTCTCCAAGAGAACAGCCTGAGGCCCCAGTTGGAGGCACCCAGCCACCAGATTGCTCGTGGGCTGGGAGAGGCCTTTACAGAGCATCTCCACGAAGCCCTTGCCCTCAAGTGTCTGGCCAGTCTCCAGGACTTCAGACAAAGCCCAGATGTAGTTCCTGGCCAACCTGAGGGTCTCTATCTTGGAAAGCTTTTGGGTTTTAGAGTAACACGGCATGACCCTCCTCAGGTTGTCCAGGGCGTCGTTCAAGCCATGCATCCGGGTCCGCTCCCTGGCGTTTGCCTTGACCCTGCGAGCCCTGAATCTCTCAAGGCGAGCTTTGGTCATCTTCTTTTTCTTGGGACCCCTTCTTTTAGGTTTCTCCCCGTCTTCTTCCTCCTCCTCTTCCTCTTCAACACTGTCATGCTCTTCAGTTAAGCTGCCAAGCATCCCATAAGCACCCTGCCTTCTCTCCTCCTCCTTCATCTCATTTTGAGAGCCCAGACCTTTGTCCATCCAGGATGGCACGGTGACCAGCTCCACCAGCTCCTTGGACTTCACGTAAGTTTTTGCCATTTCCAGATTCTGGAAAAGGGAGGCAGCAAGGGTTAATTCTGGTGAGCATCTGATTTGGTTTAAAACTAAACTTTCCTTTTATACTTTAGGAACAGAATGCATGCCCTCTATTTGAATTCAACTTAGAGTTAATTACCTTGTCCAAGTCTTCCATCCTAAATGACTTAATCCAAGCCTCAAAGAAATGTCTAGAATATTGATCTACTTATGGCATGTTATTTTAAAAATCAACTATAGAAACAAAATTGACTTGATTATTCTTTATAGTGCTACTGCCTTTTTTTATTCTCAGGTTCTTCATGGACATTTTTATACAAAAATAATGGGAATATTAGTCCAAACACACATTTTTTATCTCTTCCAAGAATTCATAAGCAGATTCATAAGTGGATATACAAATTATTGCCCAGATAGAGAAATTAATGAAACAATGATGCTAAAATGATTATAACCATATACCATGTATATAATATATATATATACCATGTATGTAATAATTATTATTATGGAAAAATAAAAAGATCATCAAACACAAATAAACTGTTGAATATTTACATGGTGAAATAAATCTAAAACTGCAGCAATATCATTTGGATCATTTTCTTGCTATACACAGGACTGCTCAACCTCTGTTGAGAGGCATTTCACATACATCTCACTTGTAATACCCTGTTTGTGATTGCTCAGCCAACTGGCAGCTTTAGGCACCTCCTAAGTAACGGCTATGGCACAACTGGCTGGGGTACCGCAGAGCCATCAAGCTCTTTTCTCGCCAGCACCAGAGAGCATTTTGTATTTCAGTAAGCAATTTGTGTTATGTCTAGTGTCAGTGGTGTTAGAGGTGTTAGCGACATCAGGTCTTGAAAGGATCAGGGAAAGAAAGGAGGGTTATCGCTGGTCCTGTTTCAAACTTGCCCATATGTTAACGTGCGAACTCTTGTCATTGCACCTCACTTGCACCTCACACATCAGACAAGACCATGGCAACAGCTTCAAAAACAAGCCGGGACTCTACCAAACCCATCCAAGATGATTTCAGTGAAACTATTATTAGAAACACTTTATTTAAAATGAAAAATCTGGAACAAATGCTAAATAGAATACAATGATTACAAATGTAAAAGAGGACTGTTTCAAACACAGAAATAGCCCGACTACTTTAAAGTCACTTGCCTAGTGGATATGCTTAATCATACTTGGCTATGCAAAATTCGCTATCTGAAAACAAGAGGAGAATGGTGGTTTCGTAAACATTTTGCACTTAACTCAAGTTGTTTTGAAATTTGATGAGAAACTTTCAGGGACATAGTTTACCAAATAAAACGACCCGATAAGCTCCACTGAGCATCCCAGTTCACCAGCTAGTCTTTGAAACAGTAAACCCTCCATCACCTTTGATTATGAGAAAGAGGAGAACATGATAAATGTTTTTTGATCCTTGAAGCTTGAGCCTCAAATCAATGAATGCAGGGATTAGGGCATAGCTTTTAAAAATATAAATATATGATTGGATCTGTTTCTGGTAATTGGAGCTTGTTTTCCTTGTAACCTCATTTACCTCCTATAAATAATTAATGTCACTGCATTGCAAAAACAGCCTAGGTTTCATGTTAATCAGCATGGAAATCATGTCAGCTTGACTTACTCACTTAATAAGGCTTCCTGGGTAAGCAGCTTTATTGAAAAAACACATTGGAACCTATTGGTCAACTGGCTGCCCAGGCCAAGTCAGAAAATCCCACTTTTAATATGGATGATGGAGCTTGTGTGCTGAGCTGCACTTCTCACTCCAGCAGACATCCAGAGGGAGAGTGAAGGACCTAATTAACTTTCTGCTAAAGAAACACAGATCTTCCAGAGGCAGGTGCACTCTGAGGCCACAGAGGGTGGAGTGGGCTTGGGAAACCTAATACACCCCCACGTAATGATAATGACATTTGTGTAGCATTTTAAAGTTCACAGAGCACTGCTGCAGCCATTAATTCCTACGTTCCTTGTAGCAAACTTCTGTGCTTACACGGGATCCCTGTGGGTCATGTCGCTTAAGTGATGAAAACGCAGACACAGAGCCGGTGGAGCAGGACATAAAGCCAGCTCTTTTGATTCCGTCCTGAGTTTTATGCTTTTTTTTTCTCTTCCTCTTCTATCAGCTACAGGAAGAAAGAAAGGTATGTTGACTTCAGATGTAGATCAATAGAACTAAGTCAACAGGACTGACCTCACTCAAAGGAAGGCCACAGTCGGTGCTCTCCGGGATGCCTTTTAATCCCCATATTCCAGGATTTCTTCCTCTTCCAATGGTTGCCTCATTACTTTCACCCACTTATTCCCACTTCCTCTCTCACTTATCCTCCTCCTCCTTTTTTCCCCTCTAATCGTCATCTTCATTGTCATCACTGGGTCACACTTACCTGCATGCAGAGGAAAAAAAAAGAGGAGGAAGGTGCAAGAGAGGGGTGTCTCCTGCTTTGCCCCTGGATCTGGACACCTTCCTGTCCCAGCTGCTCGGCCCTCACCATCCCCATCTCTGTACCTCTGGATTCTTGCTCAGATCTGTCAATATTCACCTCCTTCAAGAAGTGAGATTGAGAGAACAGAACAGCTCACCATTTGCCTGTAGCCTATTAATAGTTTCCGTAAAAGCTGCTTTCGAATTAGATTGTTGGTAGATGTGAAGGAAAAGAACCAAGTGGCATTGATCAAAACAATAAAAATGCAAGTCAGTTTCCACATTTTCTTCTATCCATGGGAAGGACAGAGTTGACTCCAGCTTTACTTCCTTTGTTCCCTTAGGAGCTGGTCTATTAGCTCTGAGGGAAGTCCATGAATGTACAGCATGGTTTCAAAAACATGCAAGAGGGGATAACACTGATGTGGACTCCATTTCCAATTCTTCTAACTCCTGGTTGTTGATCTCAAACATACTACATAAACTTTAAGTTCTTCCATTCCTTCTTTGGTGAAATAAGCATATATATATTTAAAATGAGAAAATATTTTGTATTTATACAGGCTATAAAATATCTATATTTTTCTTTTGTACTCATTCTTAGGCTTTTTTATCAAATCCATTCACACACATTTACTTAATTAAAATTAAAAATGGTTTCACACAAGTAAATAATGAAAATAAACTATATTAATTAACGTGTTCCCTACAATCTAGGTGTTACCTCATCTGATCAGCTCACAAAATGATCTGCCCTTCGTCCCGGTGTGGACTGACAGCACAGGCTCAGAGTCCCATTAACTGCATTCAAATATCAGCTGTGCTACTTCCTAGGCCTGTGACCTTAGATGAGTTGTGTAGTTCTTATCTGTCTCGGTCTGCTCTGCTTTAAAACAGGAACAGTAATAATCCTATCTCACTGGATTATTATGAAAATAAAATTAGTTAATACATTCAAAGCATTTTGATTAGTGCCAGACATCAGAAATTCCATTTTTCATGTTTTTCTAAAGATTTCTTTATTTATTTGAGAGGCAGGTGACAGAAAGACAGAGAGAAAGATCTCTTCCATCTGCTGTTTCACTCCCCCAGATGGTTGCAACAGCTAAGGCTGGTAGAATCTAAGAGCCAGGAACTCCATGCAAGTCTCTCACATGGGTGGTAGGAACTCAAGTACTTGAGCCATCATCCACTTCTTCCCAGGCTCATTAGCAGGGAGCTGGGTCAGAAGCAGAGTAGCTGGGATTCAAATCAGGCAGGTGTCCCAAGCAGCGGCTTAACTCACTTTGCCACAACACTTGCTCCTATATATTGTTATTCCTAATCTCTACCATGGGTTTTGTTTTTGGTTGTTGTTGTATTACTTGGACAAAATCAGTGTGACAGTAATCACACCTTGATACTGATATTCATGTCAATGGAAGCCAATGGCTCCATTACAACATCGATCTCAAAAAATTCCCTCACAAAACTACTGCCTTGGTCTCCTCATGACAATAAATATCAAAGAGCCTATTCCTCTGTGAGTGATAAGGAAACAACTCTATCAAGTACCTCCCCTAGACTGGCTAAGGCCCGTCCATAGTTAAGAACTTTCCATTCTGTTTTATGATGGGGAGAAAACACTTGGCTGGACACTCATACTTGGTCACACACATTTTTGGTTTCATGAAGCTTTTGGTGGACTCCCAACAACCCTTGGCACTGGTACATTTTTACCTTTGGTGAAACAATAATGAGAACACAAGTTTCCCACCAACATCGAATGGCAAAGCTGTGAGAAGACTATGAAGTATCTCTCAGATAGAAGTAAATGCCAAGATATCTCAAAGAGAAAGAAAAGAAAATACCACCTGAGTTTTTCCACCTGCATGTTTGTTAAGGCTCAAAAAAGCTTAGCAAGAAAAACAACAAGACAAACTCCACCTTTGGATTTGAGTGTTGAAAACATGTGTGATGTGGTCTGAGTTTGGCTCACGGAAAACTTAACTGGATTCCCTCCTGAACAGGCACCTAAATCTAAAACTGCCTTTAGCTTGGTTGCAAATCATCTTACAGGTACACTGAGAATCTATGAAAATGACCCCTTTTCTATTGTTCACTCATGAAATGAGTACAAAAAATTATCTGAATTCTTTTACTCTTAGAACAAAATAGAAACAATAGCTTAGCCTTCCTACTATGTAGAAGTTTTCATGAAAAGCCAGTACATGAGGCAAGCCCACAGTGACTGTAGAACCATTATGCAAATATAAGCCTTGGCAATTGTCTTATGGAGGCTGGCCAGGAACGTCTGTAGTACTATCTCACAAAATCGTGCCATACCATCTTAAAGTTTCCTCAATTTCTAGAGAAGAAATTAGCTCTTGAAACAGAGGAAATGGACTCCAAAAATCAATGAACACTGCCTTTGAAGACAGAACCCATTCACTCCTCCCTGTCCAACACACACACACATTCTGATTTTAGAAAGCCCTTTCTGCTGGCACCGCAGCTCACTAGGCTAATCCTCCACCTAGCGGTGCCAGCACCCCGGGTTCCAGTCCCGGTCGGGGTGCCAGATTCTGTCCTAGTTGCTCCTCTTCCAGTCCAGCTCTCTGCTGTGGCCCGGGAGTGCAGTGGAGGATGGCCCAAGTCCTTGGGCCCTGCACCCGCATGGGAGACCAGGGGAGGCACCTGGCTCCTGGCTTCGGATCAGCGTGGTATGCCGGCCCGCAGCGCGCTGGCTGCAGCGGCCATTGGAGGGTGAACCAACGGAAAAGGAAGACCTTTTCTCTCTGCCTCTCTCTCTCTCACTGTCCACTCTGCCTGTCAAAAAAAAAAAAAAAAAAGCCCTTTCCATGCTTAATCTGGGCATTTGGATTTTCTTATACATATACCATACAAGAGAATTTTCCTTTTTTTCTTTAGACTCCTTCAGTGAAACTTCAAATTTATCCTTTGTCTCTAATTCCAAATATTTCTCCCACTATTTTCATTTTTAATAGGTGTGTTACAAAGTGTTCACTCTTAGGTGGTGATTGCGATGAACGAATACGTTCACCACTGGTGCCAAGGTCACTGGACACTACAACCACACAGAGCTATGCTTGAATTCTTCCTGCACTTTCACTAATACTTTTATTTTCAACTGATGAATAAGTGAGAGGTGCACACACGTGGGAGGTGTTCTTCCTCTTGAAAGCAGGTGGCACTCACTTCACCTGCTTGACTCTCAGTGCAGCACAATGGGACTCTCCAGCACAGGAATCTAAGAACCAGAAGGACTAAATGCCTTGCTCAGACTTGTGGAGCTTTTGACACACACACACACACACACACACACACACACACACACACACATCCCCAATGTTACTCACAGGTTGCCCTGCTCAGAAGCAGTCAGCGGGACTTTCTGTGCTTTCTGTCTGATCTTTTATACTCAACCATTCCTGCCTTGATTACTAATTGTGCACCTGTGTGCATGTACACATCCTCTCCAGCAAAGTCATGTCCTACTTCAGATCCACCAGAGTTTAATAGTGAACTTTGTAAGCATAAGTTACTCGGTCTTTCAATTCTTCCCTGTAGGTTCATTAGTATATCATGACTGGTCCCTCTGCTGACAACAGAGGAGGACATTTTACACTTACTTGTAGTTTCTAAATGCAACTATGTTTGAGTGGGCGAATGATGAGTGTGAGGCAGAAGAGTGAAAAATACGCTTGGACAGTTTTTATCTTATTTCTCATCTGAAAAAGAAAGTTGTGGAAAGGAATTTCCCTCATCCTACTCCAACTACCCAAGGAGTTTTAGCAAATCAAATGGGTGATAGTGAGAATTATGTTCATAGCTATCCAAGATTTTTCCTGACTCCTTGTTCTATTTCCATTTCCCCTCCTCTCCATCTATTCTTTGCAGAAAAAGCCCTACTGCTCTGTGAGCAGAGGGTTAGATGCAATCGGTTCTTCTAACCTCCTTGCTGGGCCGCTTTGCAAAAGCTGTTGAACTTTTGAATGTTTCTCAGCATTAGTGAAATAGGTGGGTGGATGTGACAGGAATGGGGAGAGGCATGCATTGCCCATAATCTCCACCTTATAAAAAAGATTCAGAGCCCCTCTGAGTTCCATCGCAGGTCATGGGTACTGTGAAATGTCAAATATTAAAATGTTCGTATCTGCCCCGCCTGGAGTGACTCCCTTTGATTCTATGCTCCGGTTGCCCAAGTCCTGCTCCCTCCTCCCTTGGCACGGAAGACACTTACCTGGCCCCAACCACTCCTCCAGGTCTGTGGGTACTTTCCACAAAAACTTGTGTAGCCTCCCGGTTATCCCACCCACTGGCTCACCTCGATCAGCAGCAGTCGCGGGAGTGAACTCTGAATCTGTGTTCTGAGAGTCTCCCTAGACATCCAGAGGGCGGGAGAAGGAGGTGCTCTCAACGATCCATGCTAACCTGGTGGCCCCCGGATCAGAACCCTCTGACTGCTGCTTCCTTGGACTTCTGTGTACTCCTCCAGGTGGCCTCCGGTCGGTCTTCAGTACCTCTCCTCCTGGCTAGCTCCCGGGAGTGGCACTTTCAGTACCACAGCCGCTGGGCAGCTCCTGCGCTCTGGCCGGCGCCACAGAGTCGCAGCGGTTTTGATTGCTCTCCCAGCTGACCAGGGAGGGGGGGGATGCTGCCCACTGCCCAACTCCTCCCCTTCCCCAGCCGGAGACACGCCTACCTCCAAGGGCGCCTCCAGCCAGGACGGCCTCGCTACTGAGCGGTGAGATAGGGCTGGGGGTCCTGGAAGGGGATTTGGGGAGGCGAGCTAGAACGTGGAGGGATAAAGAAAAAGGACTGAAGTTGTTTGTGGTTTAAAAAGGTAAGGAACAGGAGTCGAGCAGCAGGGGGAAAGAAAGTTGGGGGTGGACTCGGAGAGAGAGCTGAGAAGGGGAAGAAAAGCTACCAGCCCAGGTCTGGAAAGAACAGAGTGAGAGGTTGCTGTCCAGCGCACAGCCTCAGCCGCAACCAGCTTGCCCCTGTGTATGGCGTCTTTGGTGTTCAAACTTCAATGTTCTGAGAGCGGAAGGAAGAAACTCCGCCTCTCCCTTCGGTTCAACACATCACACACTGATTCCCATGTATTAATTTGTGAATACAACACACCTGCGTGGGTTTGTCCCTTGTACTCTTTCAACTTTCTGTTCGCTTGAAATTTATGAAAACAAAAAGGCAAAGCAGAAAACTTGTCGCCTAAAGCATATTTATTTCTTTGAATTACAAACTAGATCTGCTATTGTTTTTCAAAAACACCTCACTCAGCATACAGGTGGGGCAAGTCCCCTGAGAGGTTATAAGCTTGGAAAGAAAGACGGATCACACAATTCCTGAAAGCTCTTTGGTATTATGAGGTGGAATTAGGTTGTTAGGCGATATAAAGAAAACTACTCCTGAAATAATTTGAAGGAAACTTACGGATATGTATGCTCCCTTATTTAAAAGTTGACAAAGACTGGGTGGTCACTGACGTCATACATAAGAGTGTTAATTGTTAAATTAACACCAAGAGTCACTGTGTACTAAATTTCCATGCAGGACCTCTGTCCTCAAAGAGTTGTATTATGAGAGTTAACAGTAAAACTTGTTCTCAAAGAAAAATACAAAACAAAACAAGAGTAGACAAAGAGCAAATAATTCATCGTGACGGCATCTTCAGGTGTCAAGCACTTGGTAATCTTCTGGTGGTGCTGCGGAGTAAAAGAAATAGCTCAGATCCAGCCAAGAAGATCCTGAGGAAGTCAACCTCACCCTGGGTATCAGTTTTCACATCTGCGAAATGAGCTGACTGCTTAGCTGTTCCCATCAGCAGCCTGATGGAATTCTGAGTTGAAGGTCATCTTCCTTTTGAAATGCACTGGAATGCTATCCCTGGGCTCTTGAGGGTACCATTGCTCTACTATGGTAACTAGCACAGGCATCAAACAGACAGGAACTGCACTTACACCTGGGTGCAAGGAAAGGGATCCAGGGCTCAAACTAAAGACCATTTCATGGCCAGGAAAGATGCTGTTGGATTTGAAACAGTTGATTTCTTTTAAAAAATCTAATATAGATATCATGAAATTTGTCCTTTGTAGAAAACCAGAGAATGTGGCTGGCACTATGGCTCAGCGGGTTAATGCCCTGGCCTGAAGCACTGGCATCCCATGTGGGTGCTGGTTTGAGACCCTGTTGCTCCACTTCCAATCCAGCTCTCTGCTATGGCCTGGGAAAGCAGCAGAAGATGGTCCAAGTCCTTGGGCCCCTGCACTCATGTGGGAGACCGGGAAGAAGCTCCTGGCTTTGGATCTGCACAGCTCCGGCTGGCTGTTGCAGCCAATTGGGGAGTGAACCAGTGAATGGAAGACCTCTCTCTCTTTCTCTGCCTCTCCTTTCTCTGTGTAACTCTGACTTTCAAATAAGTAAATAAATCTTAAAAAAGAAAAGAAAAGAAAACCAGAGAATAAAAATTATTACTTTTTTAAAGTATCCATAGGAAATTATTCCTTTCTTGTGTCATTACTCAGACAGGTTCTTCTCAGCAAAATAAACGTCATTTTAAAAATATGTTGAAAAACACGTGATAGGAATGGTGGATTTCTGGAAACCAAATCAGAATCCAGTCCTCAGCCAGAGGAATCTTGTCTATGGAGTAATTCGTGTCTACTGGAGGGCTGCTTAATGGTTGTGCAATGAGCAGTTATTGAGTAGCTTCCTTGCTTGCTCTGTTTCTTGTAAGCCGTGCTCATGGAGATTTAAAAGCTGGTGATGTTGGTGTCCTGCCTGTGCCATTGCAGGGGGAGGGAGGAGTCTCAGATTAGCAGAAAGGTGAACATATTGAGTCAAAGATGAGGGTGGGAACAGACCTTCAGCGGGGGGGGGGCTTGCTTCTCTGACAGATGTAAGGGCCTGGATACAATAGGATTAGCCTCAAAATGCATTCAATTGTGTGTGTGTGTCTGTGTGTGCACGTGCATACAAGTGCTGCATTGGGAGGGAGTGGACGACTAGGTTATCTTGACAAGTTGCTTTTGGCCGAGGGCTGGGCAGAATCTGTTGCCACAGCCCCCCCCCCCCGCCCCCGCCCTGCCCCTTGTCCCCACTCTGCCGGTTGTACAGTTGGTTGTTCCACTCTGGGAGGGCAGGAAAGGGCAGGAGGCGGGTGTGCCCTCAGCAGCGGAGCCAGGCTGGTGACTGCCCTAGGAAAGGAGACTGCAGGCTATTTGCATTCGCTCTCCTCCCCCGCAGCGTGGTTCCTGGGCCACAGGGCCAATCCCCTGCCTTTCTTCTTTCTCTGCTGCTTTTTGTAAAGCTCTGAGCTAACCTGTTAGAACCATCTGCTGAGTGGGGAAAAGGAGACCAGCGCTCAGTTGCTGGCCCACAGGCCTGACGCCGGGAGCCATTGAATCTGAGAAGGGAGGCAACAGGCAGATTTATGGGCAGCAATCTGTTCCCTTCCCCCCCTCCCCGCCCCCCCCCCAGGCTTCTCTGCCAGGAGACAGCCTGATAATCCATCAACTCCACTAATGAATTAATTAGTATTCCCAGTAATCCTGACCCCCTAAGGAGACCTGCCCGCGGGCCCCTAAAGGGAGTAGAAACTGCCTTTTTCGACCAGGCCCTGAAGACCCGGCACCAATGTCTGACATTAGGCCCCAGGGTTCTAAGCTGTGAGCCACAGATCCTGTGGAAAACAGACCCCAGATGTCCCTCCTTCTCACCTTCCCTGGGGAGCCCACTAGCTCTTGCTGAATTAAAACCGATACCGCTGACACATGGGGGCCAGCGACATCCATCAGGAGCCATAGAGAGTGGGAGAGTAAACTTCCAGGAAAGAAATGATTATGCCTGCCCATATGCAGGAGGAGGCTCTTGCAGGATTAGGGTCTGGGAGCTGGGATGAGGCTGGGGTGCGGTAAAGGTTGGGGAAGAAGCTAACAGAAATACAGCCGCTGCGGTCCGGCTCTGAAAGCACATGGGTAAAAGCCGGGTGCTTGGTGACAGGAACCTCTCTTTGAAAGAAGACTGGAGTCAAACATGCAGGTGCCAGCTGAGTCTCCGGGGAGCCTGGGGGAAAGCCCCTGGGAGACTCCTTCCCTCACAGCCACCAAGCCCCTCTCTTCTTGTCAAAAACCCAACTGTGGCCTGGGGTAAAAGCAAAGCTTGGGAGTGAAGAAACCCAGGTCCTAAATCCCAGTGCAGCCGTGCTGTGTGGTCTACCCATGCAGCGCACCGCGCTCCTCATGCGTCAAGGACCAGCTTGGATTATGCCTCCCTAGGTGACTTTCAGCCCTAGCTTTCAGTGATGATGATGCAAAGTCAAAACTCCTCTCTGAGGGTAAATGATCGTGGCCCCCTTAAACTCGAGCAGAACACATCCTTGGGTTTAAATAAGGCAATAAGACAGTGACTAACTTAGGTCCAGAAGCCAGGTAACAAATGTCAGTATCCTCTTTCCACTTGGATTACTGGTCCCTGTTGGGAGGGACACTCGACCCAACCCCATTCATGCAAGGTCTGTGCAGCTGGGTATTCACAAAATACATAGAGGGACTCACTGTAGCCACTTAAAACTGTTTGCATTTGTTTAAATCTGTGGGGAAAACTCAGTGCCTAGGCAAGCTTAGCGCCATTTGCCTGAGGCAACCTTCTCTGTGTGCACTGCACCCAATTCCTGAGAGCAAAGCCCCTTAGAATTCGATTGAATCCTATGTTATTTACTAATAAAGTGACTTTAGACAAGTTATTTTGCCTCTCTGGATCTCAGTTGCCCATGTATAAATTGGAGGTGCTAAAGTTGAGGCAATAATCTCACTCTGAGAAGTGCATAAAAGACAATAAATGCCAAGTGCCTGGTAGAGAGTCTTGCACTTAGCAGGTGCTCAAGAATTAGTCACCACCACTGGGATTTTTGTCTTAAACATTTAAATCTGATTTTTCACCCCTTAGGCATTAAGAGAAAAACTAAAATCAGGATTCTCCTTATAGACATTCTGTCCCTATGCTCCTACCTCAATCCAAATATCCCTTTAGTATAATCATGATCACACTACTTCAAACAGTTTGTCAGAAAGCCGAACTAAAAACTAATTTATCGGGGGCTAGCACTGTGGCATAGGAGTAAAGCCACCACCTGTGGTGCCGGCATCTCTTATGGGCGCTGGTTAAAGTCCCAGCTGCTACACTTCCCACCCAGCTCTCTGCTCTGGCCTGGGAAAGCAGTAGAAGATGGTCCAAGTCCTTGGGCCCCTGCACCTGCTTGGGAGACCTGGAAGAAGCTCCTGGCTTCAGATTGGCACAGCTCCAGCCATTGTGGCCAATTGGGGAGTGAATTAGCAGATGGAACACCTCTCTCTTTGCCTCTGCCTCTGCCTCCGCCTCTGCCTCTCCTTCTCTCTTTGTGTAACTCCGACTTTTAAATAAATAAATAAATATTTAAAAAAAATTTACCTTGATGCAAAAACATTTTGAAATCTGTGCATACCTTTTCCATAATGTACATTTTCTGTGAACTTTTTGAAGACCCCCTCTTATAAATGTATCCAACAAATGTGTTTCATGAATATATAAAGGCCTATGCACTGAAGAAAGTTCTAGAACTATAGAACTCAACACAA